CCCCGTGCGGCCCCGTGCGGCGGGGTCCCCGGAAGGCCGGCCGGCCCGCCCGCTCTCCCCAACAGGAAATCCTGGCTGGGCTGGGCGCTGCGGAGGGAGCCGCGGCGCCGGGTTCCGGGGGAAGTGGAATTATTTTTTACCAGCGAAGAGATCAACTTCCACATCCGGTAACAGGGCCCTACAAAGGCACAGACTGACCTGGAAAAGCTTGGCCGGCCCGCGGGGGTGGGGGAGAGACGGGGCACGGCGATGGGGCCTTACCGTGCTGCCTGCCCGGCCGTCGCCGCCGTCCACAACAACAACCACGGGCGCCAAAGGCCGCCTCTCAACGGCGCCCAAAAGCCCCACACAAAAGTCCCCGCTGCTGCGCCTGGCGGAGGGACACAGCGGGCGGGAGGGGAGAGGCGGCTCAGGTCAGCACAATGCGCCCCCTCTGCGCTGAAACAGGGGGACCCCGGGCCGGCGAGGCGGCAGCGCTTTGAGGGGCACATGGCACTTACCATTGGGGTGCAGGGATTATCTTATTACACAAATATCCCCGACAAAAGGGGGCTTGGCGGAGGGATACGGCCTCTGTGCAGCCTACAGCGCATGCGCAGAGATCGGGAGCAAGGGGGGGAGTTGGGACTTGAGCGCCCGCCATGTTCCGTGCCTGCGCTGCTTCCCGCCGGCAGTGGGGGGAGGGGAAGCCGCCTCGTCGGCCCTGGGGATGCTGTCCTGGCTGGGAGAGGCAGAGGCGTGTGGTGTGGGTTCAGCTGGCCCCGGCCAGGCGGGCGGTGACAGCGGCAGGGAGGGGGCAAAACCCTTGTAAAAAGCACAACCACGAAGGGGGGCTCCCTGCGAGTCTGGCGGGCCGAGGGCATTCGCCGCCCACAGAGCTGCTAAGGCGGGGTCGGCGTTGCCAGCCCTCGGTACAGCCGGAGAGCTCCCCCTACGAGTGCCCGCGGACACCGGGCGCGGGTCGTGTGCACCTGACTGTAGCTGTCGACGCTATGCCCCAGAGGGGTTTGCCGAGGCTCAGTCCGTCTAAGCAAAGCCTGCGAGGCCTTGTCCGCCCGTGGGTTTGCAGGGAGTTCCCTGTATGGCTGTAAAAACGCACCGGTGAAGGTGCGGTGAAGATAGCGCCTGAGCTGTGAACATACCGCACGGACCTCCGCTCCAGAATGAGCCAGTCCTGCTCTCCCCTCTGACTGCTGGACCTCCGCCCCAGGTCCTCAAACTGCTTCTCCCAAAATCTCCTGCCCTTCAAGCCCCGACCCCCAACTACTCTGAGTCTTGAACTCTTGCTACCACAATTGCACCAGTTCCTAGCCCCTATAGCTACCAGCAAAAGATACCTGAATCACAGGGTTACGTTGCTTTTTTTTGAGAGAGAGAAGTGGGTGATCTTTTATTGGACCAACTTCTGTTGGTGAGAGAAAAGCTTTTGAGCGACACACAGCTCTTCAGGTCTGGAATAAAGGTACTTAGCGTGTCACAGCAGAATAGAAGGTGGAACAGATTATTAAGCATAAATAGTTAACACATAAGAGACCATTCAAGGTGAAGTCTCCTGTTAACACCTATAAAATCAGAACAAAAAAGGGGGAATTAATGGGTTACAGATTGTTGTAATAAACTATAAATCCAGTGTCTTTATTAAGGATTTATAGTGGCTAGAAAAATTATGAATTTAAGCTCCCACGATCATCTTTTGAAGGTATTGTGCAGGTTTCCTTTGAAGATGAGGCCTGAGGTCAGGTCTACACTTGAAATGCTGCATCAGCACAGCTGCACTGATGCAGCTGTGTCTCTGTAGCACTTAAGTGAAGATGCTCCTACGCTGATGTGAGAGCTTCTGTCAACATAGTTAATCCACCTCCCTGAGAGGAGGTAGCAGCTCTCCCATCAATATAGCGCTGTCTACGCGGTAGGGCTGGGTTGGTATAACTATGTTGCTTAGAGGTATGGATTTTTCACACCCCTGAGTGTGATAGTTATACCAATATAGGTCTAGTGTAGACCTGGCCTGAGAAGTCAGCTATGGAGTGATAATTTTGTGAAAAGTGTTTGCCACTTTATTTTTTGTTATTTTTGTAACCATTAATAATAACTAGATTTCCTTTGTTAAAGATCATCTTTTTATTGGAATTATAATAATATTTTTCAGAGTGGTCTTTCTTTTGTCCTATAAATTGCCTCGGACACTTCAGGGAAAAGTACAAATCATCATCATCCAAAGATCTGAAATCACCTCAGAAACATTAATGAATTAAACTTCACTATGCCTCTGTGAAATACTGTAGGTCAGTTTAGTATCCCCATTTTACAGATGAGGAACTATATTACAGAGAAAACAAGGGAGTTGCCTTACTGGCAGATGTGCAAACAAAACCCAAGGGCTTTGCCTAAGCATATTATGCTCAGACCACTACACCATACTGTCAGACTTGCACATTTCCTGCCTGCGGAGTCCTCCACACTTATTTTAAAACCCCATGAATCCCATTGAACTCCACCACATTCAAAGGCCTTCCATTGTGTGACACATTCTGATGAAAGAGGACCCAGTTGCTTGTCTTTCTAGAGCTCATCAATGCTGCTCCAGGCATCTGCCAGAAGGGGTCACTACAAAGCAACATGAGATACCCCCTTTCTTTTGGGGGATTGCAATGCTTGCAAGCAGAATGAGGAAACAACAGGTTCGACCTTAATTGAATGTTTTAAACTAAGGGCTGAGGGAAATCTGACAGGTACGGAAAAACACACGGTTCAGATGGAGACATCCCTTAGGGTTAAATTTATTAAAGAGGGAACTTTATATCCTGGTATAGAGGATAGGAAAGAAATTGGTAAAGTACAGATAGGAGCTAGCAAGGGACAGTCAAACACTAAAGAGTCCCATTTAACCAAAAATATGAAGGCATGCAATTAAATATTGACAAAATGTACAAGTTCTTATATACAAATGCTAGAAGTCTAAATGGTAAGATGGGTGAACTAGACTGCTTGGCATTAAATGAGGATATTAATATAACAAGCATCACAGAAATTTGGTGGAATGAGGATACTCAACAGGACACAGTAATACCATGGTGCAAAATATATAGGAATGACAGAGCAGGTCATGCTGGTGGAGAGTGGCACTATATGCTAAAAAAAGTATAGAGTCAATAAGATGAAAATCGTAAATGTATCAAAAACTATACCATATAATCTCTATGGATAGAAATTCCATGCTTCAATAATCAGAGTATAGCAGTAGGAGTATATTACTGACCGCCTGACCAGGATGGTGAGAGTGATTGTTAAATGCTAACAGAGGTTAGAGAGGCTACAAAATCCAGCAATAATGGGTGATTTCAACTATCCTCATATTGACTGGATAAATGTCACCTCAGGATGTGATTCACAGATATAAACGACCCTTGGACCAGCTAGTTCTGGAACCTACAAGGGGAAAGGCAACTCTTGATTTAGTTCTAAGTGCAACACAGGATTTGATCCAAGAAGTAAGTAGAGCTGAACCGCTCAGAAATATGACCATGAAGTAATTAAATTTAGCATCCTTGAGGGGGAGGGGGAAGTCAATACCAAAAGGGATAACTACACAAGAATGACGACACTAGACAAAAATTAAAAAGAGCAGTCACAAGGGTAAAATGTGTGCAAGTATCATGGAGACTACTTCAAAACACCTTAGTAGAGGCTCAGACTAAATGTATATCCCAAATCAAAAAAGACAATAGGAGGACCAAAAGAATGCCACCATCATTACTCTGCTAGAGACCAAAAATCATGGACTGAACAGAGGTAGTGGATTTATGGTGTCTTCTTAGTGTATAAGTTTCAGAGTAGCAGCCGTGTTAGTCTGTATCCGCAAAAAGAAAAACAGGAGGACTTGTGATGCATCCGAAGAAGTGGGCTGTAGTCCACGAAAGCTTATGCTCTAATAAATTTGTTAGTCTCTAAGGTGCCACAAGTCCTCCTGTTCTTCTTTTTTCTTAGTGTATGCGTAATGTGTCTCATGTGATTTATGGCTTATTACAGCAATCTATAATCCACTAACCCCCTCTTTTTATCCTATGACTGCAGAGGTGTTAACAGGCCACTCTACCTTGAATAGTCCTTTACAATATGTGCTAACTACTTATGGTAAACAATCTGTTCCACCTTGCATTTTGCTGTGTTGCTAGGAGTTCCTTTCCCATGTGTAGCTCAAAAACTTGTCTCTCTCACCAACTGAAGTTGGTCCAATAACCAGGGCCGGCGCAACCCATTAGGTGACCTAGGTCGTTGCCTAGGGCACTACAATTTGGGG